CACGCACAGAATATCCGCCATGGGAGAAAGTCTTATTTAAGACATGCTTGATGTAACTTTCCTATCCTACCATCAATACCCATAGTCACCCATGTTTATTTGGTAAGAAAATTAAGCGCAACAGAGAAGCATGCTTGTCAAACTATACACTAAACCAACATAATCTGCCATATAGGATTTTTGCAGATGTGATCATTGCTTAGAATGTTCTACAGTCTTTGTCCCTAAAGTTGTGTTCTGTTTTTAGTGGTGAACAAGTTGTTTCTGTACAGACAGGGAGCTACGACAAAGAGATGCAGCAGTGTAAAACAGAAACAAGAAACTTCGACAGGAAATGTAATCCAGATGAAGATACTACATTCTGTCTTATTTTACCGGTGTGTTGTCAGGAATTGGTGCTGTAGTACTTACCATATGTCTTTCGAGTTACATCACAGCATTTCTATTCCGGTTATATACTGTACTACGCCAGCAACTTTTTTTTTCCTAATTTCAATAATGTTTACATTTAACCTTTAGAGACTTGAAGCCTGCTTGTCTTGTTTTTGCTGTTACCACGAGGTACTGCAGCTGTTGTATACACACTCAGGATTTGATGTCGCAGATGTCAGTGTTGCATTAATATCTATGTGCACTCACAAATCAGACCCAAAATAGATTAACATGGACATACAAAAAGAAAAAGGCTCACACACATCTGCAAATTTTTTACATTAAAAAGCTGTTGTTGGTTGTTTCCGCAAAGGAATCAAGGACTTTTCACGTTACAATTGAACTTTTACAAATAAATTGCTGAGATTAGTTTGATGAATTACGAGTTGAGCATGTTTGAAGTCACTGAACGTTTTGTGTGTGCGCTGAAATCAATGGAAAACAACTCCTGCCAGGAATGTTCTAAATCCCAAAACTTTATGTTTTTTGGTTTTGGTATGCTTTGGAAAATGGTGCTGAGCAATGTCAAGGAGACACATATTTGTATATTTTAGCCAAAACACATAAAAACCACAAGTACAATTATTAATTGTTCCCATTGCTGTAGAAGTTACCCTACATCAGTTTCCATTGAGTCCAAGTTAAGGCTCTGGTGATCAATTCCCAACTCCTGGCCAGTGGAACTGTGTGACTGAATCGGATCCTGACCTCCACAGGTGTGGCAGGTGATCTGAGGGATGAGTGAGCTCTTCCTGGGGTAATATTAGCTCCAGCCAGCTCCCCCAGTTGCCCTGCCCCAATTTGCCCTTTCCTGTCATTTTATCTGTACATCCATTGCAATCATCCTCTGCTCCTCCATTCCACTGGCGGGTCTCCATCGCTGGTCTTCTCAGATGTCAATGTGAAGAGAGAACTTCAGTTGGGCTGACTGACAGAGTCCTGACACCCGATTGTAGGCAAAACTGTTTCAGCTTCCTGCCACCCACACCCTCCCATCCTCTAACCTCCGTGGTACCAAGGGCAAAACGAGTGTATACAATTCACTACACAGATGATCTATTTAGGATTTTCTTCTAATGATGAACAAAGAGACAGTAATTGTTTTTTCCGGACTCAATAGAGAAGTAATTTAAGTTTCCCTAGAAAGTCGCAAAGTCATATTAGATTGTGTTGTTGTTTGAGCCAGAGGGACATGCTGTAGTTGAAAGGCTTTCTGATTAGTAGTTGAGACTTAATGTAGATCCTGTAGGGACAGAGAATTGTACTTCCTCCAAATGTCTGGGTTTAATTAGACCGACCAGCCAGCCAACCAGCTCTTTTTACATTGTCACTTACTTACTTATTAAAGAAAACTCAGATAGTTGCCAATCTGACCACTCAGCTAAAATGTGCAGAGCTTTCAAAAGTGTTCAGTACGATAGAAGTGTACAAATATTTGCATGCTCACCATGTATTACCACTCTTACTTTGCTTATTCAACCAGTCATGTCCTTATTTAACTGGTAACTCAATCACTTAATAGAATAATTACAAAAAACACAATAAAGTCATAATGTCAACCCTTGACATTAATTTAAGCAGAAGAAACTGCTTAAACACATCAGTGTTTGGTAATCTGAATAGGACTTGAATACTTTGCGAATCATCTATCATTTGCATTCCTGCCAAAAGCACTATAAACATGTTTCCACATGTGCTCATTCCATAGCAAAGCTGCCAAACAGCAGTCAAGCACTGCTGAAAGGAGGCTTATCACAGCCCTTCATGATTTTCGTTGACAAATAAATTGTTTTGTTTTGTTCCTATTCAAGCTAGTATGTGGCTTTACTGTAGCTACACTCATTGCAGTTTGTTATTATTCCATATATGTTATGTATAATGTACTGTGTAAGAGAATATGCACATTTTGAACCAGTATTTCCGGGCCCTGCTGAAACTTGTATTTGCGTACTTTCACAAAGACGAGAGGGTGTGTGGGACAAAATCTGATTAATCTGTTTGTGTTTGTGTGTGTGTGTGCGTGTGTACGAGTGTGTGTGCGTGCGTGTGTACGAGTATGTGTACGAGTGTGTGTGTGCGAGTGTATGTGTGTTATGTGGACCTGAGCTCTGAGCTTTAAAAGTGTGTGTGGACTTGCAGACCTCAGCTAGGAGATGTAATCTGATTTGCAGAAATGAACGGGTCGTTTCACATGACTGATTTAAAGGACCACTGGCGCAAGGTTGTGCCAGCGTCCCTAACTTGTGTGTGTGTGTGTGTGTGTGTGTGTGTGTGTGTGTGTGTGTGTGTGTGTGTGTGTGTGTGTGTGTGTGTGTGTGTGTGTGTGTGTGTGTGTGTGTGTGTGTGTGTGTGTGTGTGTGTGTGTGTGTGTGTGTGTGTGTGTGTGTGTGTGTGTGTGTGTGTGTGTGTGTGTGTGTGCATATGAGCTTGACGTGTGTGGAATAGCTCCATGCATGTGTGCTTGCATGCTATACACCTACATGTATTTATTTGCTTTCTCAAGTGCCCCTGCAGAAATATGAGCATGTCTTACTAGTGCAGGCCACTAAACAGTAGAGGTAGAAAGGTGTTGAAGTTTGCTACGCAATTATTCCATTGTTCTTGTTTTTAAATCAGATTTATTTGGGAGAGGTTGCATGGAAGTAAGGCCGCTGCTAATTAACAGCCCATTACACATCTGGAATAAAGTACAGCTCTGCCTTTCACTCTGATGCAGTTTGCAACTTTCTGTTTACACTTCTCTTATAATCACAGCTTTATTTTAAACTAATGGACCATCAGAAATTATATCACATAATTGAAATCATCCTGTAGCCTCAGCCCTCTTTAGAGGACTACTGAGATTAAATCCCCTTAAAGCCTCGCCTCGGAAACCTCTCTGTTTTTAAGCATTGTTTGTTGATGTTTTTTTGGGGTGGAGATTCTCTGCTGGATGTGGGCCATCATGTGATTTTCATTGGAGGGTGGCCGGAGGAGACGACCATAGTAAATCAAGTGGGCGTGTGTTTGTGTGTCATCTGGCCTTGTTAATAAAAGCAGGTTGTTTTCCATCTGGGGGTCATCAGTTGTGGTCATCACATACACAAGTGGAAGAAGGGGGCCCTATGCGGTGACGTGTGGAGCCTTGTGTGTGCTTGTTGGTGTGTCCGTGTACATGCTTGTTATACACATAAGCATGGACCGAACGTACAAGTTGTGTGTGAGAATGCATCGTGTTCACGCCTGTGTTTGGTTGTGTGCTTTCTCTCCCATGTGTGGAGAGCTCATAAGCAGGATGATGCAGTGAGCAGGAAGCACTGATCCCATCAGGCGTGTCAGCAGGGGCAGTTTTTCATAAAGTAGTAATCTCACCACACACAGGGGTGTCCAATATAAGAGAGAGCCCCACACCCCTGAGCTAATCAAGACCTGACCAACGCTTCTCCTGGCTTGCCAACCCTCTAAACATTACCTCATCTGGAGGCTTAGCCTAGCCACATGCTGCTCCAGCCTACTGGTCTACATGATAGCTCACTACGATAGCTAGAAAAAACAGAAATATAAGAAGGGATATATAAAATAAATGAGAGCAGCACACAACTACCTATGGTGCCTGGTGCCAGGGAAAGGTATTTTAAAAGGGAGAGGAAAGAAAGAATCATTTTACCATGTCCTCAAAAAAACTCTGGGAAGCAATTTGCCGGTATTCAGTTTCTCTCCCCGCTGTCCTGTTATTGCTGTTTTCCCCTCAACTCTTGGAGCCTTCAACCTGAAAGGAGGTTTTTAAGTTCAGGCTTTGTGTCACTCGGAAACAGTGCATTTGTTGCCAAGGTAACAGGTCTGGGACAGTGAAACTAAGAAGCCGAGTGCACCTTTGTCCGGGAATGGATGAAGAGGGACTGGAGCTGTCATTGGTCCAGATAGCACAGCTTTAGTCTTAAATACGTCTAAGAAGCCTGTGATCAAGAGAAATGTCTTCATCCAATATCTACCTGAACTGTTAAGTCCAGCACACTACTACATTTCAAATGAAAAAGCCACTTTGACTGCTTCCCTTTACCTGACCTGCCAGCTACTGTCGAGTTTCACTGAAACCTAGATTTCCAAAAAAAACGAGTTCCTCTACTCCAGGTTTAGCTTTTTAAATGTTAGTCATAGATACTGGAGAAGGTCTTGACTCATGTTGTCATTGTAAAACCAGATTTGGTTGACCAAAAAGCCTTGGAAAAAAGGCAAAAAAAGTATTGTGATGTTTAGAGTCATGTAGAAGTACAATTATCCATTATGAGGATTGTCAGAAGCTCTTAGAAATGTTGTGTTGCATACTTCATTTTGTTTTCCATTCTTCTGTTCTGTTAATCATCTCATGAATTCTCATATTTATTTTGGACTTGAAGGTTGGAAACCAGAGTCGTTATAATTGTTTTATTCTCATATTCATTCATATAAATATGTGTGTGATTGAAAATGCAAGTTTGGGCAGAACTAGACTTATTGCCATCTGATTTATGCCTTTTTTTTGTCCATTTGTTTAACTCTTGAATGAGCTCCTCTCTCAATCATTTTGTTCTCCTCCTTCTCTTTTTCAGATGATCTCAAGGGAGCACCCAGAAGAGGCTGAGTAATAGAAACGTGAACTCAAGAGATTCAACAGGTAGGGATGACTGTTTTTTTGTTTGTTCTTTATTCAGTGGAATATGTGATCACACACAGCGCAGCCTTATTATGAAGTGACAGTTGCTATAAACAACCAGAGTGTGGTACATCCACTGATGAAACAGAGTAGCAATGGTTCACATATAAGTGAGACATGATCAGGGTGGTGACACTGGCTTGATTCCCATGTTCTTGCTTTTTTCTTTTATTGTGTAACTCAAGTCATGACAGCATGGTAAAGAATGCAGTGGCACAGAGATATCACTTCAAACACGGCGTCTCTCAGGAGCCTCAGATCCTTTCAGTGAAACTGAATGAAGATATGCTTTGATGGCCCACCACAGAGTCGGTGGCTTTCAAAGAAATCTGTTGATGGGCTTGTGCGGGGCAGCCAGCAGGTTGAATGAGTGGTACTGTATACGTGCGCCTCTCAGGGTGGCCGTGGGTGTTCTCAATGGAGGTCAAACATGCTTGACCCCAACATGAGTAGACTTTTTCAATAGATTTTAGGCTCGCATTATCTTTTTTTTCTCCTTCTAGCGGGTTCTCTAGGTAAATGAAGGGGAACAGTGTGTGTGGATGGCAGGCTGCCAGTAGACAGGTACAGTAGATGTGCTGATGAGGGAGGCCGATAGGGGCCATTTTCAGTCGCAGGCCCCAGGCACAGACAGGCGTACACGGGCAGGCTGAGATTCAGAGGCAGGTTGGGACCTGGGTCTGTATGCTGATGCCACTCTACTGGCTCTGCTCCAAAGTGAGGCATAGGAGAGAAACGTGGGAAGAGAAAAAACAGAATATAGGTCAAAGGGAGCCATAGAGAAAATCAGGTGAAAGGACAATTGCTGAGTGGTGTTAAAAAAACACACACAAAAATGAGGGTAGATATAACAGTGTTAACAAAAAGCAGTAGAGTGGCTCTGGCTTAAAGTTAGGAGAAGCAGGCTAGAGAGCAATGATTATGTGTGAGGCCCAGGGGAAGGAGAGAGAGGTGAGGTAGGAGGGACATGAAGAAAGAGTACGCGAGTGAGGCCACATCCTGTACGCTGGTGGAACGTGACTCCTCACAGGTAAGCCAGCTCAGAGGTGCAGACAGGCAGAAAGAAGATGAGGAACACTGATGGATGACTACTTATCCTCTGACATGCCGTTCCTTCCCCAGGCAATGAACAGGCGGGACAAGCCGGTCCCGCCACTTTGGCTGAGTGGAAGTTGCGTGGGCGCAGACGACGTAATGTCCTTTTTGTTGGAGGTTGTATGCGCAAACACAAGTGAAGCAGACTATAGGTTGTCAAGAGGCCACGTACCTACATTACCTCACCTCGGGCTGCTCTGTGATGCTGTGGAAAAAGCAGATGTTGTACACTGATTAACTCGCTTTCATTACACAACATATTCAACAAACTTTTGTAGTTGTTGTACAAAACAATTGTTATCATCCTCTTCTTAACTGTTCCTGCACTTCTGAAAAAGAGTGATTTTATCTTTCTCTTTTATCATTGAAATAAGATACTTGCCTAAAGCAATTGTAGGTTTGACATCTCAACTGTGGTTTTATACTGAAAATCAGGTGGTTCCAGCTGCCGCGCAGCAAGACTGATTTGTGATTTGTGTCCACACTACTGGAAGCAAAACAGTTTTTGCCACCACTCATAATGTGATCATTTCAGCTAATGATGAGGCTCTGCGTGGTTCATCCGCTACTTATTCATTATGCCAGTTTAAAACCTCATGCTCTTTTCTGTGTGGAAAGATGGTAAAATCAACTTAATCTGCCGAAGGCATTATCGGAAAATAACCTAGCATTGACCAATTCTGGATGTGTTATGAATCTCTGGTTGTTTTAAGTAATGGCACTAAACAGTTACTTAAGTTAAGTTTCCATAAATTATGAAATCCTCTTATTTACTTCACTAAGGGTATGGGAAACATGTGTCACTGTTCAAGCTGTTGTCTTTTTTCCAAGTGGTGTTTGGCCTCAGTCAATCATTAGTTTGTGTATTATGTTTCTAGGATCATACTGAATCCTGGTTTGGACTGAGGACCAGCATCCCCTGCAGCAGATGTTTGCTCCTGGCATGTGTGCAAACAGCATGACCTCCATCACTGACAATCTCGCTCTCAGGATCCAACGCCAGCAACTTAGACTCGGAGATGCTGTGAAACAAACTCTGCATGACAGTGCAGTGCGTTCTGCTGCTCAGACATTAAGGAACAGATCAGTCAACACAGTCTGGAGACGCTCTCATTCGGAAAGTTAACTTGATGAAAGATGTTTATCACAGTTACCACAATGGATCCACACATTGTTTGACTTTTTCTAAATTGAAACTGGATTAATATTTTCCCGTATACTGTATATACATCTGCTTTTGATATTCCGTGTTTATTTACGCTGTTGCCCATACACTGCAGTTGTGACATATACTGTGTTATTCTGGATACAGTATCAACAAGCGCTGGAACTGTAAATGGAAAATAATCAAATGGTATTTTCATTTTTAGGTCTGATATTACAGCACTTGCCCAGTGCAGCAACATACAAAACATGTGCACAGTACTGTGTAAAATACATTTGAACAGATAGGATCAAGATTTCCCAGACGATTACTCATTTATTGGAACTTTATCTTCTAATTGCGATCACAAAGAAACCATTGTGATTAAGGTGCTTATAAATGCAAATCAAAACCATCTACATTTCACATAGACACTTTGGCAGCCTTTGTTGTTTTCGATTAATAATCCTGTCAAGGAATGTATTCTGATGATGATTTATAGCTCCATAACTTTAGCTGTCTGTGAAACCTAACAGAAATAAAGAACTTGTATTCAAGCTGCTGTCTGTTTTTTTTAAATTATTACAACTGCAGATCTATGAGTTTAACAACCAATAAGATGCTTTTACGATGTTCGTTAAGTGTGTGAATATGCGTTTAGTATTAGTCATGCTGGCTTCATTACTAGCTGGGCAAGTATGTGCTAATCGGCTGCAAGGAGGACTATCAGGTGGTGTATCACTCTTTTTTTTCTCTCTCCTGCTCAGGCAGTAAGAAGCAGAGTAGAAGTGAAATTGGAATTACGTGACATTTAAATATTGATTATCTGAACTGCTTATGGAAATCACAGTTTTACTAATGTGACAATAGGTCACGGTTATACTTACGACACTTCTTAAAATGTTTTGTGCAATAAGCTCATTTACTTTCCTTTCTTTCGGTATTTCCTAGGAGTACAAATGAAAATAGAAAGTGTGTTTGCTGCTTGGTTCAGTTTCTGTAAAGCTTCTATGTATGATGTTGTTGGAGAAGTGCTTAATGTCACAGTCTAGGTCAAAATGAACAAAATTAAACTGGAGTTTTCACTACTTTGTGCATGAAAATCAGTTTAAGCGAGTTTAACATTTTAACACTGACTTCCCATTCAACTGTCTTTCACTGTCAATTTCAGCTGTGATTCAATAAGGTTCGGCTCACGAGGGGGGAGCTACAGGCCCTGCGGGGGATGTGGGTGCGGGAGTGCGGGGAAGCAGAGTTGCTAAGGGGGTAATTATTCCTCGAGGGGTTGCTTATTGTTGTCTTTCTCTCTGCGATAAAACAAAGCGGACCGGGTTAGCCTCCTATAGCAGTGTGCTCAGGCTTTTATTCTGGCGCTTGACAATGTTCTGACAAGTTGTTCAAAGCATCATAGGGATCATATTAAGAATCAAATTTGTGAGGGACAAGGTCATCTCCATCTGTAAAAGAAAAGGGGTGTGAAGGCCCCGGCGCTGATGTTTTGAAAGTTGAGTTTCATGACATCTTTATGGCCCTGCTTATGGTCAACAACATTAGCATGTCCACAATGGACTTCCCTACTTGCCTGCCTCCCCCTCTTTTATTTTTCTCCCCCGCTTTTTCTCACACACATACACAGCTCAGGGGAAAAATGACCTCTCTGCAGCTCTCAATTCACCGCACTTCTATAGCCATGAATGGACCGGCTCAACAAAAGGTGACATAATTTTCTCAGGGTTTGATTGGCCCCCTCCATGCCACAAGATGACATCATGCAAACCCCCTCCCTCTCCAACGCATCACAACCAGCACAAGCACACCAACCCTCCCCTCCATGTTCTTGGATGCTGGGTTCCCAAGACAACAGAGTTAGGCCCTGGCTGTGGGGCAGGACTTGGCAGTATTTTGCAGCTTGGCTGTCCATAATGAGCTCAGGCGGCGTTGCTCTTGTGTTTGTGGTAAACAATGTTCGGAAATTATAGAAGAGGGGAAGGGATATTATATATTTTTTTATAATGGCGGATTCCATCTTCTTTGAACCTTTTCTTTAAAGGGACCATTAATGTAATCTTCTTCAATAACACATGTATTACAGCAAGAATTGTCAAGCCACAAACTTTTAATGTCAAGCACGAGCTTTTTGTCAACTGCCGAGCTCTCACTTGAAGCTCGGCCAAGTTTTGGTACAAGTGTCATTGTTTCTCACTTTCTCTCTCATGAGGTTCAAGTGGTGTGTGTGTGTGTGTGTGTGTGTGTGTGTGTGTGTGTGTGTGTGTGTGTGTGTGTGTGTGTGGAATAGGGTTGCCTTAGAAGAGGGAATAATTAATTGAGACAAGTTCCTTCAATTTGCCCTAAATTTTGTTTTACTTTCATCCTTAGTCATGTTATCAGGGATATCTGCTCTGAATGAGAAGTATGAACTTTTACCCTCTATTTAACAATATACCCACAATCTTAAAAAGTACAGTAATTGGGGTGTTCCTCCGTTTGTCACTGTATGGTGTCAAGTAACAAGTTCTGGGAATTGGCTGACTTGCTCAGCTCGGTTCAACCTGTGACCCTGACTAATAAATGTCACTTTTCAAGCTGGTTTTGCATCCAGGAATATTAAAGGCATAGTACAAGACGAGTATCACACACATACAAATGGCCATTTCCCCTTGGAATTGTTGTTAATGAGGATAATTTAAAGTGAGGTTGACATGCAGATCCGGAGCCAAACCTTATTGGTTCCAAAGACTCCTTCAGCATAGACGCCTTGAAGCGCACTCCAAACCATTTCCTCAAATTGGAACTGCATCCCAAAAAGAAAATGACACAATTACTTCTTGGTCTTGGGGTATGTCCACCATTTTTGTTGAACGTTGCATTGTATTAGTGTCATGTATGGTCGTGCTTATATATACTGGTTTTAATGGGAAAAGACAATCATTTTCTACTTTTCCCGTACAGCCTTCTGTCTTTATCTTGCCCATCATGCCAAGTCTCTATTCACTTCAAAGTGCACCTCATTAAAGCTTTCATGCTTTCCTTTTCTTGCTGTTCCTTGTGGTGTTTTGTGATTAACTGTGGTGTGCCGGGTCGGCCCCTCCTTGGACTTTGTTGGAAGAGAGCATAGCTTTGGTGGGTTTGTAAGCTTGGATGAGCGCTGACTGTATCGGTTACCTCTGGCATGTTGGGAGTGCGTGGGCTCCCATCGTCTATGACGTTGATTCACTCAGCTCTCAATGCACAGGAGAGATGGTGGGAATCCACTTCTTTTCTTTTTCTCTGTATTTTCCACAATTGTTCTTTATTGAGGTTACCTTTTTCTTCCAGTGCTTTCAAATTTGTCATGTGATTTACCTTGAGTTTATTATGACAATATTTTCCCAAGTTAAAAGTTACAACATAAATCCGGAGTAAATTGATGGGGACAATAAGGTTATATACTTTCCAAACATCATAAAAGACGCGGCGATCTTTGTGGTTTATTCATGGTGACAGCCTTGATTGGCAAGGTGACATAGAGGAGGCAGTTGCATGGGAAACCATCCCTCAGTCTGGGCACCCTCTCCATCCCGCGCCTCTCTCGCTCTCTCTTAATCCCCATTGAGAAGAGGAAGGGGAGACTCGGGAGGCAGGAGAGGATGAAGAGGAGGAGGGGAGCAACAGAACAGGCCAAAGGCTTCACTGACATCCATGGGAATCTGCAGATCCATTCAGTCGTAATTATTAGCATCAATGCAGAGAGGCAGTGGCAAGGCGAGGGGCGGGGGCAAGGGGGTGTGGGAGAGTTTTGGGGGTGCGGTTGGGCGGGATGAGGGGGTGTCAGTCCAAGATGGAAATCAATCACCAGAGGAGCCAAGAGGTTGTAATGAGAGAGAGGTGTTGAACAGGGTTACTTTCCATTATAGCAAAGACGATGTGAGCAGCATTTGTCAGCGCAGCATTTCCCTTTCCTTGGTGTCTGGTCTCTGGAGAAGTGATTACGAGAAAGGAAATATTTATAGACAGAGGAACTAAACATTACATCATCAAATATGAAGCCAGTGTACATGACCATTTGATCTCTGATTAAGCCAGTTGCCATTTGGTTTTTATGTTGTAGGTCTAACATGACAGAGAGTAACCTTGAATGAATTACAGTCAATGCTGATTCACTGCAAGTCCTTGTATATTAGGAATTTAACTTAATGTATCCAGTATTGTTGAATTGCCTACGATGACACTTTTGTCATGCAGTTATATCAGAGGATTTTCTTATGGATGTGTGAGGTAATTCATGGTCTCGCGTGCTTCCTGCCTGTCTGCATGAAATGAAGCGACATGGTGAAAGTTCTCAAGTCAGGGATGCCAGCCCTCTGTCCCCTCAACATCATACATCACCCTGACTGGCTATTTCACTCCTAGATTCAGAATTCCTCCTGATCAACCACCTCAAACACTTTGGGTTGTCCCTGCTTGGTGAGAACGTCACTCCAAGCTTGCTGAACACCACATTTTGTACTTTTGCCAACTAGCCGCAGAGACAAGTCTGCCCGATGGTATTATGACTAATGATTTTTAATGTTCTCCCTTTCTTCAATTGAAACTGTAAAAAAAAAATTCCAGCTGAGGGTATTTCAGCAATGCAGCTGTAGTGCTTGCCTGACCTTTCACTGATTGTCAAAGAGGAAGGATCAGATTTAAATGGAAGACAATTTTTTTTAGGTGCGTTTTGAGTGTTGCTCATTGCTTCTCACTGTGAAAGAAAGGTCATGTCAGAGGTCAGGTCAGCACTTATTCTCTTCCTTAGAAGGTCTGTTCATACTCTGGAGTTTACCTTGGGAAAAACAGTCAGATAGAGATGTCTCATTATGCTGCTGGTGAATTTAGACAGAGGGTGTCAACATGTCAGCTTCAGGGATAACAGATTTCCTCTTGTGAAGCTGTCAGAAAGAAATGTTACAATAAGTTAGCAACGTTATTTGTGCGATATGCTTGCAGCATTACAGGCTCTGAAAAACAAGATAAACAAACATAAATTATATTCTGAAACCTCAAATAATGCCTAATGTGTTAACAACAAATTCATTTTCTTTATCTCAAGACTAATGCCCAGAAAACACATACTTATATTTAAATGTACAGTGCCTCTAGTACAAATATAACTCATGTTAGGTATAGTTTCTTTTTGTATAATGCTCTTTACGGCCTGAATTTTGAACTCAAGTAGGTATATATTGTGATTTAAATAACTCCCAATGTTATTTGTCTTTTTTAGAGTTATAACTTGTATCTCATACATTTCTAGCCGTTCTTTGCCTCCCACGCTGCAGGAATCCTCTGGTCGGTGAAAAAAGTGACCCCTTGACCCACACACACAAAGTTCATTTTTACATGCAGTACTTGAATTTTGTCTCCTTATGTGTAGAGCTGGGTGAGGAACAACGAAAAATCACATGGTCATCTATCACAATGAAAGCACGGACAAGATGGTGGTGGTGTGTCACTCACGCAGTGACTCTGATGTTTCTCCCTTGTCTTCCTGTACAAAGTATGAACCATTTGAACTGAGAACATTAAGGTATTGCACAAA